ATCTCAAGTTTGAGCTTAGTCTGGGCAATTTAGCAACTTAGACCCTGTCTGAAAAAAAAAGGGCTGGAGAGGTAGTTTACCATGAAGGCCCTGGGTTTCTTATTGTACCCCTTCCCCAAAAAGGCTATATATGTGTGAACAGTGAGATTATGTACCCAATAAAGGGTAAAAATTTTTGTTTTAATTTTTAATTTTTTTAAAATTTTAATTAATTATTATTATGATTTTTTTTTTTTTTTTTGAGGCAGGATTTCACTATGTAGTTTGGGGTGTCCTAGAGCTCACTATGTAGTTCAGGCTGGCCTTGAACTCTTGGTGATGATCCCCCTGCCTCAGTTTCCAAATGCTGGGATTACAAGCATATACTACCAAGCCTGGTGCTAATTCTGTTTGTTTGTTTTCACATGTAGAGGAGAAAAATATTGCTAAAGAAGCATTTATAGAGCTTGTTAATGTGAAATCTGACTAACAGTTTACTAATTCTGTGAATGAGGTAAATATAGTAGAATGTATGCTTCCCTTCATCTTTAAAATATACATCATTGGGTTTAGATATGAAATAAGATTTATACAAATAAATAGGTACCTGTACAAAGTAAATTCAAGTCCGCATTTTTTTGGATTATACAATGCTATGTAATAAACTATTTATTTATTTAGAGAAAGGGTCTTGCTGTGCAGTTTGCTATGTAGCTCAAGCTGGCTTCAAACTTTTGGCCATCCTTCTGCTTCAGCCTTCTGAGTGCTTGGGCTACCATGCCCAGCAGCACACCCAAAATTTAGTGAGTTGAAACAGCCATTTTATTTCTTAGGATTCTCTGGCGGCCAGGCTGAGTTGGACAGTCCTGAGTGGCTGGTCCATCAAGTAGCTGCAGTCAGGTGGTATCGGATTAGGCTGGAACATGTGTGGTTCTTTGAAGGGCATAGCTTCAAGTCTTGGGTTCAGCTGGATGGCTTGGCCTTTCCCTCTTCATACAGCCTTTTCATATAGTCTCTAATAAGATAGTCAGGTTGCAGGGACCTTTGAAAGCATCAGAGATTGCTGAGGCAGATTGACTGGAGTTTGAGGCCAGCCTGGGTTACATAGTGAGTTCAAGGCTATTCTCAATTACATAGACCCTGTTTAAAAAAATGTGTAAAAATTAAGAATAATAGTAAATAAAAGCACCAGAAATAAAGCTGCCTGACTAGAATTGGTGCCTTGTCTATGTATTCCATTGATTAACTTCAAGTTGTAGGAGGCCACTGCAATGATGAGGTTCTTTGGGAGCCATTTTTGAAAACCATCCACACTTTTTTTTTTTTTTCCTGTATTTTAGGGAAGGGTCTACAGGGTGTTCAGGGTCTCACTACCAGAATAGAATGGACTCAAGTGATCCACCTGTTTACAGCCTCCCAAGAGCTGGGATTACAGGCATGAGCCACTATGCCCAGTCTCCACACTATTGTTAGTATTTTATTGTTTCCACTTCATTATTATATGCTTATGATACATAACAAACACTGTGCATTTATCCTGGGAAATTGGTACATACATACTACATCTTGATCCTTTTTACTGCTTCCCCGCCCATTACTATTAATGTTACCATCCACCATGTCGCTATGCCGTGTTGCCTTAAAGTTGCCAGCTGGAAGTGCTGGGAATATATGCATTAAATAGGTACATAATATATACATATGGACAGATGTATATTGTTGTGGTGCTGTGGATTGAACTGAAGGCCTAGGGCCTGCAGAAGGGAACTTTTAATAGATTTTTTTTTTCCCATTACAGATAGTTTACTTCATCAAATGTCCTAGAACATCAACTGCTACCCCCACCTCTCAGCGAGAGGTGAAGGGACTGAATCTGAAGGTGCTGGTACCTGGAGGTCAAGTCAGTTACATTCCCTTAGGCAAGAGGAGGAGGGGTCCAGTCCAGGAAGGAACGGAACAAGCCTGGACAAGTCTAGGGTTTCCTCTCTGGACTGTTCTGTGTGCTATAAAGACCCCAGCACATCTGTACATGTGAGTGGTGGTTTGAGGCAAAAGGTTTCTCCATTTCTTCAGAGCGAGTTTTGAATAAATCTTTTTTCTTTTGTATTAAGATAAATACTTCTCTGGTTTGTTCAGCGGTGAGAAAATAAACCTGAGTATGAAATTTAAGTGACCTGTATGTAACACTAGCACCAGAATATATTAATGAACAGGGAAATAAAAATTTCTATGCACTTTGAGCTTTTTTCAATGTAAGTAATTAAAAAATATGGTATATTAGTTGGTAAGAGTGGTAAAGAAAAAGCAAAGAAGGAGATAGAGAATACTGAGACTTGGGATTTGCATTTTTAAAAGTGGATCTTTACAGCTGAGTGTGTGCCTATAATCCTAGCACTCTGGAATGCTGATCCTCAAGGATTCCAAGTTTGAGTCCAGCGTGAGCAATTTAGCAACTCTGAAACACAGTCTCAAAATTTCAAAAGAAAGCTACTTTGGAATTTCAGGGGGTGCTGTCTTTTTGTATGCTAATGACTACTGGCTGTCAGCCTCTAGGTGCTGTGGGTTGGGGACTACTCACCAAGAAAATTGTGGTGGGATTACTGGCAGCATTAGTGGTGGTCTTTTCAGCCCCATCCTTCCAACTGTGGTGGGGAGGTAGGAAGAGGTGGGGCCTGATAAATTGATCTAATGCCACTGAGGCCTACCAATGTATATTCTGTAACTGTATCCTTGAGCATGGTTTGCCCATAGAGAGTGTGGAAACTTCACAGTCATGAAGCACTCCCTGTGCACCTCCATCAGGTCTGCATTGTTAATCCTGTAATAAACTTAAGTGTGATTCCCTAGGTTCTGTAAGTCTAACAGATTCATCAAACCTGAGAGGATCAGGTGCATTTGTAGCCAGTCAGTTAAGCACAGCCATTGGAAATGGGGCAGTCTTGAGGGACAGCCCAGAACCTGTGAGATTGGATGCTATCTCCAAGTAGAATTAAGGGACACCGAGGCATAATGGTGTATGCCTATAATCCCAGTACTCAGGAGGGTGAGGCAAGGGGATCACCTGGAGTTCAAGGCCCACCTGAACCGCTGCATAACAAGACCCTGCGTCAAAAAAGGACACCCAACCCAGGTCCCTTGCAGAATTGGTTGTCATACTTCTTGGTGACCACAGATCATAGAAATCATTATTATTATTTTTTTTTTTGGTGGAACTGGGGATTGAACTGTCAGGCTCTTGTGCTTGCCAGGCAAGTGCTTATTCTACTGAGCTATCTCCCCGGCCCCTCATAGAAATTTTCTATGTGATTGTAGAGTGAGAATATAGGAGAAACTGAGTTTATTTTTATGTTCTCTGAGGTGATCCACTTGAGTTGTGGCCCACTCCTGTAACCTCAATTATTCAGGAGGGTGAGACAGGAAGGTCTCAAATTTGAGGTAAGATAGGACAGGCAAGTGAGTTGCCTGCCTCTTGAAAGGAGGGAGAGATGGAGGAAAGGAGGAAGGAAGGGGAGGGGAGGGGAGGGAAGAAAGTCCAGTGGCAGAGTGATTGGCTAGCATGGGCCAAGACTTGGGTTCAATTCCTAGTACCATAAGAGAGGAAAAAAAGATGGATTAGTATAGTAATAGTGGGAGTAGTGAAAAGCGGCTAGATTTTGGATGTTTTCTGGAACATAAAACTATGAACTGGGTGTGGAATGTAATGATGGCTTCAGGCTTATTGACTTGAGCAATTGGAAGGATGGAATTACTGTTTACTGAGACTGTGGAGACAACAGGACTGGCAAGTTTTAAGAATGAGACCGGTTTAATTTTTGTAAGGTTTGAAATGCTTTAGAAACCAGCTTTAAAGGGAGTGTAGTGGTGTACCTCTATAGCCCAGCACTCTGGAGGCTGGGACAGGAGGATCTCTGATTTTGAGGCAAGCCTGGTGTGTATAGTGTGTTCAAAGCCAGCCTCAACTGCATGGGGAGACCTTGTCTCGAAAAGAAAAGAGAAAAAAGCCAGCTTTAAAGCTGTAAGTTATGTCCTTTTGACTTCCCATTTTGTAGCAAGGGAAACTGATGGGGTAGGGAGCAATTTGTGTACTTTGTTTTAACTAAGCCTTAGAAGAGTAAGGGATCTTGTTTGTTTAGCAGTGCGTGTGAGTTTTTCTAGGTTCCTGTCACACTTTCCCTGATGTGGCTTAAGTCACATTTTCATGACCAGCAGTTAGTTGAATGTCACCTATTTCTTAGAAAAAGACTTAAAGGGAAACTCAAGTTTACTTGAAAATTTTATTTTCCTTCCTTTTATATGTATTTTAGGAGAAAAAGAAGAGAGTAAAAACATTTAAGCTTTATTTTAATTTATGTTGCATCTTTTCCCTAACGATACATGTCTGTCTTGGTTTAATGCCATTTTGTAGGCTTCTGGTTGACCTGCTTTTTTATTTTTTATTTTTAAAGGTTACCTTGGAGGGCCACATTAACTGATATTAAAAATGTTGACTCTCACTTTTCTGCTTCAGTGCCTCTTGGAGACAAGTTCCAACATGTTGCCAAGAGGAGGTTTCCTTAAGTGCTCAGGGACTTTTATCCTGATAATTCTCCAGCTCTGCAGTCTCTGAGAGGTGCTCTTGAGCACCACCTAAAGGAGGACATAATATACCATCTGATCAGTAGCTCTAGGAAGTAGTGAGAAATAAATGTGACCTGACCTGGAACATTATTCATTATCATCAGTGTGAGGCTGGAGCATGCCCAAACCTGTTGCTGTTTAAGGCTTCACTTGAGGAGTAGTAGACGGTTCTTATTTAAGCACTCTAGGATTTTGCAGTTTTTTCTAAGCTAGAAAATAGTAGGTATGGAGGACTTCAGTGTGGGTGTAGAGTGCTGTGATACATGTGTTACAGTGTTTTTGTTTTTGCTTTTTTTTTTTTTTCTTGCTGCCTGCTTTGTAAATGCTAAAGACAGCTTGTATGGAAATGTGTGTGTGTATATATATATATGTATATATATATATATATTTTTTTTTTCTTTTAGTTGTATCAACAAGCTGAGATATCTTCACTGCCAAAATGACATCATATTCCACCTCTGCCCAGTGTTCAACATCTGAGAGTGCCTGCAGGATCTCTCCAGAGCGAATCAATCAGGTAGATCATTTGTGACCGTTTTTGTATGTCTTATAAATTTTTAAGAAATTGAATTGAGGCATATAACTACAATTGTAGGTTGTTCAAAATAGTAATTTGGAAAACTAGCAGTGTGTTTTAGGTTAGACGTGGGTAGTAGAGAGTTTGGGGCCAAGTTTGGTGAGTTTGTTTTCTGTCTTTTTCATTTTGTCGGACTTTGTTTAATCTCAGCACTCTTAAGAGATTGAGATAATAAATGAGTTTGAGCTCTGGGTGACTTAGTAAGACCTTACCTCAAAATTTTATTTTACCTTATTTTTTTCCTTTTTGGGTTTTTGAGACATGGTCTTGCTATGTAGTTCAGGCTAACCTTGAACTTACTATGTATCCCTGGCTGAATCAAATTGTTGGCAGTCTTCTTGCTTCAGCCTCCTGAGTGTGGAGTTATAGCTGCAAGTATAGATGTGTACTGCCACACTAGGCTTCTATCTAAAAATTCTAAAAAGGGCAGGGGATATAGCTCCATGCCACAGTGCAGGGTAGGTTGAGGACCTTGTACAAACCCATATCCTAGATGAAAAAGATTTAAATGTAAAAATGGAATACGTATTGGGAGAAAAATGTATGAAACTTTAGAATTAGAATGAGGGAGGTCTTAAAATGAAACCGATGATGTTATAAGAGGAAGACAGAAATATTTAACCATACAAAATTAAAAAAAAAAACAAAATTGTATACTATGGACACATGGCATTGCCACTGTGGAAGAGTGCAACAATTCTAAGCTGATGCTGGCTGTGTATTGTGAGTCTGGGTTGAGATAGCAGCCATGGTCACTCCTGGGTTCCTGAGGATGCCTGGATGGATGCTTATCTTAGGTGTTTAGAAGTGGTGTGAGGCCGGGGAGATGGCTCAGTAGAATAAGTGCTTCCCTGGCAAGCACAAGGGCCTTAGTTCAGTCCCCAGTTCCGCAAAAAAAAAAAAAAAAAAAGTGGTGGGAGCTGTAAGCCAGGTTTATGTAACACGAAAGACGCTGTATGGGATTACCAGACTTCTAGCCCATCTGTCTTCTAGATACTGAGATAGAAGTGATAGACTCCAGCCTGTGGTATGGTGTTTGTACCTCCTTGCTACCCTCAGTCATAACAGGATAAGGGAGATCTTGAGAACTGCAGGGTCATCCAAATTGGCTGATGTTTTTTGATTAGGCCATGCTACATACAGTCTTAAGTCTGCAGTAGTCTGTTGTATATTTGCTGATGGATTTATTCTGCTGGAATATGTAAGATGACATCTAAACTTGCTATGAATTGTATATGAGACCCATTAGCCTGCCTCATCTTTTATTTTAGATATGGGGTTAACTGGTCTTCATTCTGTAAGTTTTCTTTCTAAAGAGTAAAAGTTACCCAGATAGAAGAATTTTTATTGTTCAAAAATGTTGGGTAGTTGTTCTACACCTTTCTGATGTGTGGACAGTTTAATTGCAGTTATATGTAGGGTTATGCAAGGACACACTGTAGAAACCCATATACTTCTCTTGTCTGTCACATAGAGCTGCCTCTTTTTGTTCTTTGCTGCCACAGCTAGCTCACTGTTGAAACTGACATTTTTTTCCTTCTTCAGCCCTCCAGTGCCTTTTGGCCACCACAGCAAGCTTGGGGTGGCATTATATACACTTTGATAACACCCAGAGAATTTATGGTTATCTTATTTTTAATTCTCAGTAGAAAGTAAACACATTTCATTTGGTTTTCCTATTGGACTTAATGTTCTTGTTTTGTTTTGTTTCTGAGATAGGGTCTTGCTATGTAGTTCAGGCTAGCTTTGAACTCACGATGTAGTCCAGGTTGGCTTTGAACTCATGGCAATCCTCCTGCCTCAGTCTCCAGAGTGCTGGAATTACAGGTGTGCGCCACCATGCCCAGCTTGTACTTAGCCTTCTTTTATTTTTTATTTTTTTAAATTTATGAATTTGGTACAGGGTCTCACTACACAGCTTGGACTCGTAGTGATCCTCCTGTTTTCAGCCTCTCCAGTGAAAAAAGGCATGCGCCACCATGCCCAGTCTCTGTGGCTGGCTCAGCATGGGGGTGAGGGTCGGTGTGGCACCAGGGAACAAACCTGGATCCCTGGTCCCTGCGCTTGCCGAAGCAGGTGCTGAGTCCGCTGAGCTATCTTGCCAGCCCTTCTTTGATTTTATTTTTATGTATTTATTTTTCCTTTTTTGATTTTAAATCAAAACTAGAAGTATGTTTATCCATAGTATGAACTTACATGACTGAATTAGCAGGGACCAGAGAAGCACTACTACAGAATACTGAGGTTATTTATTTATTTGTAGTGGTGCTGAGGAATGAACCCAGGGCTTAGTCACTGAACTACATCGACAGCCCTTTTTAAAATTTTTTGTTTTGAGAGAGGGTCTTGCTAAGTTGCCCAGCCTGGACTTGAATCTAGGATCTTCCTGTCTCAGTCTCTGACTGCTGTGCTTATAGGTGTATACCAGCAGACCTGGTTTTCCTTTCCATTCTCATTACCCCTGTCATATCCCAGCTGGGAATATTAAGAGAATGATGGATAGTAACATAATGTTATTAATTAGATCTAGTTACTCTCCTTTTGTTGTATCTTCGTTAATGTCCAAAATATGAGAAGTTATATCCTAAAAGTAGTATAAGAATTACTTTTAGTAGTTCAAATTATAGGGCTGGTGAGATGGCTCAGTGGTCTAAAGCATCTACTTAGAACAAGCTTAGCAAAGCACAGGGACCACGGTTCAATCCCCCAGCACCACATGCCAGCCAGCCCCGCCCCCTGGTGGGCTGAGCTGGCCACACACACACACACACACAAATAAATAAATAAATAAAATTAAAAAAAAAAGTAGTTCAAATTATATACCATTTAAAAGTTTAGGGCAAGAGTCAGCAAACTTTCTGTATAGGGCCAGAAAGTAAATATTTTAGGTTTTTGTAAACTTTGTTTTGTCTGTATAACTTCTCAACACTGTTGTTTGTAGCACAAAAGTGGCTGTAGGGCAGTGTGTAAACAAGTGCACATGGCTGTATTCCAACAAAATTTTGGTTTACCAATGTAGTGCAGGTGTAGTTTGCCATCTCTTAGTCTAGGTAAGTAGTTAATAAAAAGATATACATGAATGGTGCATTTTGTACTCACTGAAAATTAGTCATGAATGCAGGCATTACATGAAAGTAGAACAAAACTTTATCCATTTATTGACTGATGGACCTTTTGGTTGCTTCTCTCTTGTTTGGGAGTAGTGTTACTGTGAACACTGGTGTACAGATACTTAGTTTAGTCCATTTAGTTTTTTTCATATACAACTAGGAGTCATATATGGCAGTTGTGTTTAACTGTATGAGAACTGCCAAACATTTTTACAGTAGCTACACCATTTTATATTTCTAGCAGCAGTGTACAAATGTTCCAGTTTTTCTGTATCCTCACCCAAAACTTACTTTTTCTTTTCTTTCCTTCCGTTGACTTTCTCTGCCCTGTCCTTCCAGTCTTTGGATTGAATCCAGGACCTTCACACTGAGCTACATTCCCAGTCCTTTTTTGTTTTTAATTTTAAGACAGAACCTTACTAAATCACTAAGTTGCCCTCACTGGGATCAAACTTAGGATCCTTCTACCTTAACCTCTTAGAGTGCTGGGATTACAGACATGTGCCACGGGCATGCCTGGGCAACCCTTATATTCTTTTTTTTTTTGATGGAACTGGGGATTGAACTCAGGCCCTTGCACTTGCCAGGCAAGCATTTATTCTGTTGAGCTATCTCCCATCCCTTATATTTGAAAAAAAAAAAAAAAAGTAGGTGTCCTTGTGTGATTATGTTATTTTTTAAAAATACAATTTGTTAGAAATCAGCAGATAATCTAATTGCTCGTAATTATTATTATTATTTTTTAGCGGAACCAGGGATTGAACTCAGGCCCTTGCACTTGCCAGGCAAGCGCTTATTCCACTGAGCCATCTCCCTGGCCCCTCATAATTATTGTATATATTGGAATATTGCCTTATCAGGTGATAAGCTTCCTAGGATTTTAAAAAATGCATGTAAGGAAATTTTTTTGTTTATTGGAGCTTCAGAAGCCAATCTAATTGTAAAGTAAATAGATTTATTTTCTATGTTTTTGTCAGGTACGACCAAAACTGCCACTTTTGAAGATACTGCAGGCAGCAGGTGCACAAGGTGAAATGTTCACTGTTAAAGAGGTAAGACAGAGGAAACAAAATTACCAAGTTTTTTTTCTTTTAAATGAAAAGATCCAAAAAAAGAGAGAAAAGATTCATACTTTTCAGTACTGCTGCATCCCCAAACCGTTATGCCTCTCAAGGAAGTAAATCTGGAGGCATTCCATTTTTTTAAAAGAATATTTCGTTTCCATCATTTATTTTATTTTTTTTGAGGTGCTGGGGATGGAACCCAGGGGTTTGTGCATGCTAGGCAAGTGCTGTACCACTGAGCTATGTCCTTAGTGCCCCAACTCTCCTCTATTTTTGTAATAAGTAGCTGTACTTATTGTATATCACAGGATGCAGGAAACAGGAGAAAGGTAAAGGGAAAAAGGGACTTGAGAGGTAAAGGAGTAAACAAGGGCCAACCCCTTCATTTAAATGGAGTGTACCATTTTACACTGTATCCCTAAAATTTTAATACTGTACATAAGACATATCTAAGCTATTACTAAAGTATGGATTTATACTACCATTAAAGTTGTTAGGATGAATTGTGCCATTTCCTTCATTTGCATAGCAGCATTTGCCTGTGCTTACAGGATTTTTTTGTTTTAGAACCCTAAAAGGGAATTTCTTGATTTTTTTAAAAAATATGGTTCTCATTATGTACATTGAAGCAGTATGTTACACTGAGAATAGTAGTAGTAATATACAAATGTAGACTAGACTAATGTTTTGTTTTGTTTTTTGGTACCAGGGATCAAACTCAGGACCTTGCACTTGCTGAGCTATCATCTCCTGAGCCCTGGACTAGTGTTTTAGAAAGTACTATTGTAAATATTTGGAGTTGACTTATTTTTTCTCAAGTTGGATGACTACAAAGAATTTCTTCCTGTTTCTTCAGGGATGTAATTTTCTTATATTCCCTAGCTGATTAGGTCTGAGGAGTCAGCTAAGTCATGAATACTAGAACATATTTAGGAGTAGCACTGTGCTAATATAATAGGAACCCTGTTAGAAAAAAATATCTGGGGCCGGCCATATAGCTCAGTGGATTAAAGCGCCTGCAAGCAGACACAGGGGCCAGGGGTTCGAACCCCAGGCCTGACAAGCCAGCTCTGCCCTTGGAGTGTGCTGAGACGGCAAATGAGACTGGGCGTGGGCCTGTAATCCCAGCTCTTGGGAGGCTATAAACAGTCAGGTCACTACAGATGTTATAGAGTCCAATGCAGTAGTGAGACCCTGAACACCCTGTAGACCCTTCCCTAAAATACCAAAAAAAAAAAAAAAAAAAAAAAAAAATCCTGTACAAGATATTTAAACAATTCCTGAGAAGTTCCTAATGATAAAGGTAGTTGTTTTGGTCTGCTTGTGAGTTATGTGACAAGAACTTAATCATTCAGTAAGAAAAATAGTTTTAGTCTGGTAGCTTTAGGAAAACATTTCTTTTTAACAAATTTAATTTTGTCATAAAATTTAGTTAACTATGGGCAAAAGGAACTAAGCTAGAGGACATAATAAATGTTACACGAAATGCTTCATCTACATTTTAAAGTTTTGAATTGTGAATTTACCTGTGTTCAACTAGACTATGTATTTATTGAATGCCTACATTCTCTTGTGCACATACAGTGTTGATGTCTTATTAATCATTGTATATTTACCAAAAAGAAATAAGTGGATATACATAAAAGGCCTGGTTATGTGCCCCTGGACTTGGAAAATATTTGTTTAGCCCAGGCAGATTTAAAGTTTATTACTTCTGGTAATAGCACACACTTCTTCATTTGAACTGTTAAGAAAAAATTTAAGGAGATATAACATAAATTCATCATAGTTTTTTCATTGTGACATCATTTATATCTGTGCTAAAAAGTCAGGTTTGTTGCTGGCCAGAAAGATAATGAGTGGGTCACTTAGTGATTTGTTGTGTGACCTTTCCTACATACCCTTTGGAGCAGAATACCTGCTCTGACAGTCTTACGTTGTTGTCCCTCTAGCAAAATACTGTACTTACTTCCTCATAATAAATGTGTGGTTGTGGTAGCTGTTGGAAAGATACGGTATTTCATTCCCATTTAGGTAATGCACTATCTTGGCCAATATATAATGGTGAAGCAGCTTTATGATCCTCGAGAGCAGCATATGGTGTATTGTGGCGGAGATCTTTTGGGAGAACTATTAGGACGTCAGAGCTTCTCTGTGAAAGATCCAAGGTAAAAAGAAGGACAGATTTATATCTCTTTGAGTGCTTTTACCTACCTAATCTCTCTGTGTTAATAATATTGGTTAATAACACTGTGGTTCCTTTAGTAAACAAATAAGGACCTTCAACTATTTTTACAGAGGTTATAGAGTTGCAAGACAGATCCTCTTCCTCTTCTCGGTCAGATAATCATGCTACTGCATGGTGCCATTATACTGTGATCAGTGCTACATAAGGAGCTCTGTACATGAAGTCAGTTATGTGTGGCAGTTTAGAGTGAGAGGACCCTTGAAGAAGTGGCATTTGATCTGTGAGCTATAAGGCTGAGTTGATTAGAGGAGCTTAGTTGAATGATTACTTCAGATTGAACATCATATGTGAGAGTCTGGGTAGGAAGGAGCTTAATGTTGTTAGGCTAGAGTTTTGTGAAGTAGTTGTTAGGAGAACTGAACAGGTACAAAAATACAGAACTGCATGGCCATTTGAGGTTGATGCTAAGCCTGGTAAGAATAACAGTGGAAACTGGTTGTGGTAGTACCTGTGATCCTAGGACTCAAGAGGCTTAGACAGGAAGATCACTGAGGGTATGAGGCCATCCTGGGCTACATAGTGAGTTCAAGGCCACGGTGAACTATGTAGTGAGATCCTGTCCCAAAAGGAAGGAAGGAAGGAAGGAAGGAAAGAAGGAAGGAAGGAAGGAGGTAGGAAAGTGGTAGGAAGGTAGGAGGGGTAGTACAGCCCATCTGACCTAAGTGACTTTCTCTCTTTGAATGTGTGTGGTAATTAGTTTATGTAGGCAAACTACTTAGTAACTGAGGAGCCAGAGTACTTTCTTTCTCTAGATTAATAACAACTGCTTTCTTCTCGGCCCATTTGTATAATCTCTTGGAGCTTTAAATCTGATTTTTGAATGAAGGGCTAATTTTCAAAGGAAATCTACTCATTCATGTTACTATTAATGAAATAAAATGTATGTATTGAAAAGCTTTTTAATGGGGCAAAATAGCCAAAAGATTCTGGGCATTGATACCTTTTTTTTTTTTTTTTGATATCTTAATATTTAAATAATTAAACATTTTTGAGCTGGGTTTAGTGGTACATGCCTATAAACCCAGCACCCAGGAGAGTGAGACAGGAGGATCAGTGGAAGTTTGAGGCTAGTAATTTCAAGGTCAGCCTGAACTACAGAGAGAGACTGTCTCAGGTTGTCCTCTCCCCAAATTTTGGAGTTGCATGTGGTGGTACTTATCTGTAATCCCAATTACTCTGGTGGCCGAGAGAAGAGGACTACAGCTTTGAGGCGAGTTTGGGCAATTTAATAAGACTTTGTCTTAAAGTACTTCAAAGAAGTAGGAATGTGGCTTAGTGATAAAGCCTTGTATCTTCAGTATTACAAAAAAAAAAAAAACAAAACACAAAACCAAGATCTAGAAAGATTTTTTGTCTCTGTGCACCTAATAAAGTTGAGGGATAGTATGTAAGAAGTACATTTGATATTTAGTAGAAAATCTCTGATATCTTTAGAATGTCATTTGGAGTTTGTTTATTTATTTATTTATTTATTTTTAACAGCCCTCTCTATGATATGCTAAGAAAGAATCTTGTCACTTTAGCCACTGCCACTACAGGTACGTTACATATCTCTTCAGTCAGTATCACAGCTTTGAGTTCATGAGGGAGGGCAGGTGATGGGAAAGCAAGGAGGACCAACATGGAAGTGCAATCTGGTGTGACTGGGGGCACATGTACTACTTGTGCTATAGGGTGGTATACAGGATTCAACTTTGCATTGTGAAAAATTTCAAACCTACTCAGCATAGAAAGATGCCTACTTTCCAGACCTAGCAGTTGTTAATATTGTCATAACATCTAGACATAGCTTTTAAAAATCTTTTTTTTGTGGTGGAACTGTGGATTGAACTCAGGCCCTTGTGCTTGTCAGGGAAGCGCTTATTCTACTGATCCATCTTCCTGGCCCCTAAAGCTGTAGCCATAGCCTTATTTTTTATTTTATTTTATTTTTTCTAGTACTGGGGATTGAAGTAAAAATCTCTTTAACAAATAAAGGCTTTCTCTTGATTTAAACTAGCATCCTAAATCTATCCAACAAAGTTAATAAATAAAATAATTGTTCCATAATCTTTGATAAACCAATGTATGATTTATTTTGTTTTCGCCAGTGATTTAGAAGCTTTTCAAAAAAGCTTATTTTTGACTTGTTCAAATTAAGATGCAAAGTCTACATATGTTGCATTTGGCTGATAGATCTAATGTGTCTTTAATCTGTAAAATTCAATCCTCTATGTGAGAATGTGTGTGTGTTTGGTTTGGTTTAATTAATATCTTATTCAATAATAAAACTTTCGTCTTATTAAAAAAATCACACATAATTGCTCATTTTCTTGGATTACAGAATATAGTAATTATCAAATCAGGGTAACTGACATGTCACCCTGAACATTTATCATTTCTTTGTGTTGGAAATACCCATAATCTTCTCAGAGGTAATTTGAGATATACCATAAATTACTAACTATAGTCACTCTACAATGGGATAGAACCCTCCTTTTGTTTTCCTTTATGGAAGGAATAGATTATTTGTTCTGGAGAATACTCTTTGAGTTGGCAGATTCTATCTTCATATTATTTAACTTCTTTATCTTCCTTATTTTTGGTAAACTTGAATAGATTGGAGTTTAAATTTCTTTGCCAAGAGATTTTCATAGATAGTGATTTGTACTTGTATTTTGTACATCTAAGTCATATAAGGTCTGCTTTTCCTTCTGAGTTTTGTTAAGGTTCTTCGGGCTCAGGTGCTTGAAGTCTGATCCACCTGTTACAAAGATCCCTCCAAGAACCTTTCACCTAATCTGAATGCTAATTTATTTAATCCTTTGCTTGATTCTAAGCTTTTTAAATACTTCCCTTTGAGTTTATTAGGTGTACACAGGAAACTGGTTGCTTGGAGTCTGTCTCCAAGGTGGTGGTGTGCTGGAGATAGGTGAATAAACTAGATGCAACTGAAATGTAACTCCTGTCACTGATTTCCACATAATGATGCCCCTCCTTCTTGCACAAAGACCTTTCTTTATCTTCAAATTAGAATATAGGGAACATTGTCCTTTGAAGAAAGAACATATAATCTCTTCAAATTAGCTGTGTTTACTGAAACAGATGCAAAAGAATCCATTTCAAATAAAGATTTATGCTTTTAGGTAGAGAAGACTTTGTTCTCACACTGAAACATGATTTTGAATTTTTATCGACCTTTTGGGAGTTCAGTTCTAGGGATGGAACCTGCTGAGCTACATCCTCAGCCCCCAAACTTACTTTGACTTTTGAAGCTTACTCGTTTCATCAGGCTGTTTATCTACTTTACACACTCTATGCAGCTGTGAAGTTTTGTGTGAGAGGGAAAGCCTTGTAGCTGCTTCCTGTGCTATTTACCAGGGGCTTGAAGTATAGGGAGGATTTTATAAGGGCTGACTGCTTTCAATAAAATTCCTTTTCTGATTGATCTGTTCTTGGACTATCTGGATTATGTATAATTCTCAACTTTCTCTTTTCATTTTTTGTACATTCTTTGCAGAATTATAATGTGTAGTATACAGAGTATTTCTGTAATAAAACACTTCAGTTCTTCCTCACAAAAATCTTGTGATGAGGAAGGTCAGGAGGTGAAGAAATGGTTTTTAATTGTGTAACAGATTTGCCCAATTTCAGATGTCCCTGGTAAGGGGTAGAGCTGAAATTTCTGACAGGCCAGGCCTTGCTCTGCCTATTATGTCACACATTGATATTTTCTTAACCTTTACTGTGACAGAATTGGCCCTCTCCCCATTGTTTTGGACATTTTTTTTTTTCTCTGAACATTGTTTTTTGTTTTCATTTTACTATTTGGTACAGGGTCTCACTACACAGCTCGGACTCATAGTGATCCTCATGTTTTTCAGCCTCCCCAGTGCTGGGATTACAGACATGTGCCACGATACCTGGACTTAGTTGCCGGCTCAGCATGCCCACACCCAGGGGTAGGGCTGGTACAGCATGCAGGACTAGGGATTGAATCCTGGTGCCTGCACTTGCCAAAGCAGGCACTTAGTCTGTTGATGAACATTAAATTTTTTTTTTTTTTCTTTCCTCCTGTTACTGGGGATTGAACTCAAGACTTTGAACTTGCCAGACAGGCACTTATGCTGCTGAGCTAACTCCCCGGACCATCAGCCTTGCCTTTTAAATCAGTTTTTAACTTGTGACTACCTTTATTTATGTCTACTCACTTTTTCCCTCATTTTTACTAATTTCTTTGAAATTTCTGATTTTTTACTCTAAAAAATTTAAACATTTTTGTAAATAAGAAGGGTTTTATTTTTTT